CCTCTAGATAGGCAGAGCCAGCTGTCACTCACACAGCTGTAGTTCATGGTATACTGAGCTTAGGGTAACGGGAGGACGCTAGTTTGTGTCCTCCCGTTACCCTAAGGAGAACTATGGGGAAAAACACTGACCCCATAGTTCTCCTTTAAAAGGAAAATTCAGTTCCAAAATGAGGTTGTTCAATCTGTGTCAGGTATTTCGTAGACACCTCTCGATTTAATACCCCTTTTATAGCTAAATTCCAGGCAGATTTACACAGTTATTTATTAAATTAAAAATTAAATAATTATGATGAACGGGGGCGGGTACTGGACCAGATAGTACCGCTTGGCTGCAGTGTAGTCTGCAGGAAGTGTCCATAACTTGGTTGTGCTGTTTGAATCAGCAGACTGGCTGAACAAATTTACTAACCGAAGACTAATAGCCCTGCATTGTGTGTGATGATGCCGAGGGACCTTCCACAGCCCGGAGCATTGGAGTATGCCGGAACAGGGGTTAAGGCAAGTCATACCGCCTCTCTATCCCCGCCCTAGATTTAACAAGCATTAAACTATTGCAGTGTGAGGAAGGGGCACTACATGGGTGTTTTTTTTTTTCTACCCCCTTCCTTCTGTCACCCTTCCCATAAACCCCCTTCCTTCTGTCACCCTTCCCATAAACCCCCTTCCTTCTGTCACCCTTCCCATAAACCCCCTTCCTTCTGTCACCCTTCCCATAAACCCCCTTCCTTCTGTCACCCTTCCCATAAACCCCCTTCCTTCTGTCACCCTTCCCATAAACCCCCTTCCTTCTGTCACCCTTCCCATAAACCCCCTTCCTTCTGTCACCCTTCCCATAAACCCCCTTCCTTCTGTCACCCTTCCCATAAACCCCCTTCCTTCTGTCACCCTTCCCATAAACCCCCTTCCTTCTGTCACCCTTCCCATAAACCCCCTTCCTTCTGTCACCCTTCCCATAAACCCCCTTCCTTCTGTCACCCTTCCCATAAACCCCCTTCCTTCTGTCACCCTTCCCATAAACCCCCTTCCTTCTGTCACCCTTCCCATAAACCCCCTTCCTTCTGTCACCCTTCCCATAAACCCCCTTCCTTCTGTCACCCTTCCCATAAACCCCCTTCCTTCTGTCACCCTTCCCATAAACCCCCTTCCTTCTGTCACCCTTCCCATAAACCCCCTTCCTTCTGTCACCCTTCCCATAAACCCCCTTCCTTCTGTCACCCTTCCCATAAACCCCCTTCCTTCTGTCACCCTTCCCATAAACCCCCTTCCTTCTGTCACCCTTCCCATAAACCCCCTTCCTTCTGTCACCCTTCCCATAAACCCCCTTCCTTCTGTCACCCTTCCCATAAACCCCCTTCCTTCTGTCACCCTTCCCATAAACCCCCTTCCTTCTGTCACCCTTCCCATAAACCCCCTTCCTTCTGTCACCCTTCCCATAAACCCCCTTCCTTCTGTCACCCTTCCCATAAACCCCCTTCCTTCTGTCACCCTTCCCATAAACCCCCTTCCTTCTGTCACCCTTCCCATAAACCCCCTTCCTTCTGTCACCCTTCCCATAAACCCCCTTCCTTCTGTCACCCTTCCCATAAACCCCCTTCCTTCTGTCACCCTTCCCATAAACCCCCTTCCTTCTGTCACCCTTCCCATAAACCCCCTTCCTTCTGTCACCCTTCCCATAAACCCCCTTCCTTCTGTCACCCTTCCCATAAACCCCCTTCCTTCTGTCACCCTTCCCATAAACCCCCTTCCTTCTGTCACCCTTCCCATAAACCCCCTTCCTTCTGTCACCCTTCCCATAAACCCCCTTCCTTCTGTCACCCTTCCCATAAACCCCCTTCCTTCTGTCACCCTTCCCATAAACCCCCTTCCTTCTGTCACCCTTCCCATAAACCCCCTTCCTTCTGTCACCCTTCCCATAAACCCCCTTCCTTCTGTCACCCTTCCCATAAACCCCCTTCCTTCTGTCACCCTTCCCATAAACCCCCTTCCTTCTGTCACCCTTCCCATAAACCCCCTTCCTTCTGTCACCCTTCCCATAAACCCCCTTCCTTCTGTCACCCTTCCCATAAACCCCCTTCCTTCTGTCACCCTTCCCATAAACCCCCTTCCTTCTGTCACCCTTCCCATAAACCCCCTTCCTTCTGTCACCCTTCCCATAAACCCCCTTCCTTCTGTCACCCTTCCCATAAACCCCCTTCCTTCTGTCACCCTTCCCATAAACCCCCTTCCTTCTGTCACCCTTCCCATAAACCCCCTTCCTTCTGTCACCCTTCCCATAAACCCCCTTCCTTCTGTCACCCTTCCCATAAACCCCCTTCCTTCTGTCACCCTTCCCATAAACCCCCTTCCTTCTGTCACCCTTCCCATAAACCCCCTTCCTTCTGTCACCCTTCCCATAAACCCCCTTCCTTCTGTCACCCTTCCCATAAACCCCCTTCCTTCTGTCACCCTTCCCATAAACCCCCTTCCTTCTGTCACCCTTCCCATAAACCCCCTTCCTTCTGTCACCCTTCCCATAAACCCCCTTCCTTCTGTCACCCTTCCCATAAACCCCCTTCCTTCTGTCACCCTTCCCATAAACCCCCTTCCTTCTGTCACCCTTCCCATAAACCCCCTTCCTTCTGTCACCCTTCCCATAAACCCCCTTCCTTCTGTCACCCTTCCCATAAACCCCCTTCCTTCTGTCACCCTTCCCATAAACCCCCTTCCTTCTGTCACCCTTCCCATAAACCCCCTTCCTTCTGTCACCCTTCCCATAAACCCCCTTCCTTCTGTCACCCTTCCCATAAACCCCCTTCCTTCTGTCACCCTTCCCATAAACCCCCTTCCTTCTGTCACCCTTCCCATAAACCCCCTTCCTTCTGTCACCCTTCCCATAAACCCCCTTCCTTCTGTCACCCTTCCCATAAACCCCCTTCCTTCTGTCACCCTTCCCATAAACCCCCTTCCTTCTGTCACCCTTCCCATAAACCCCCTTCCTTCTGTCACCCTTCCCATAAACCCCCTTCCTTCTGTCACCCTTCCCATAAACCCCCTTCCTTCTGTCACCCTTCCCATAAACCCCCTTCCTTCTGTCACCCTTCCCATAAACCCCCTTCCTTCTGTCACCCTTCCCATAAACCCCCTTCCTTCTGTCACCCTTCCCATAAACCCCCTTCCTTCTGTCACCCTTCCCATAAACCCCCTTCCTTCTGTCACCCTTCCCATAAACCCCCTTCCTTCTGTCACCCTTCCCATAAACCCCCTTCCTTCTGTCACCCTTCCCATAAACCCCCTTCCTTCTGTCACCCTTCCCATAAACCCCCTTCCTTCTGTCACCCTTCCCATAAACCCCCTTCCTTCTGTCACCCTTCCCATAAACCCCCTTCCTTCTGTCACCCTTCCCATAAACCCCCTTCCTTCTGTCACCCTTCCCATAAACCCCCTTCCTTCTGTCACCCTTCCCATAAACCCCCTTCCTTCTGTCACCCTTCCCATAAACCCCCTTCCTTCTGTCACCCTTCCCATAAACCCCCTTCCTTCTGTCACCCTTCCCATAAACCCCCTTCCTTCTGTCACCCTTCCCATAAACCCCCTTCCTTCTGTCACCCTTCCCATAAACCCCCTTCCTTCTGTCACCCTTCCCATAAACCCCCTTCCTTCTGTCACCCTTCCCATAAACCCTTTCCTATCAATCCCCCTCCTCCTCCCACCCATCAATTTGATAGGCCAGTTTCAACTTTCATATAACATGCAATGTCACGCAACAACAGATTTCAAGTCATTAGGCCTTTCTAACACAGGCATTAGCTTGTATAAGAGAGCAGTGTACACAGCAAGCTTTTGCAAAGCATTTGTAAAGCTTTCGGCAAGCTTCAAACAGCTTTGTGGAAGTCTTTAAAAGGAGGAACTATGAGGTGAGTGCTTTTCACTCACCTCATAGTTCTAGCCAACCTGTGACAATGAGACTGTCACAGGTCGGCTCAGTAGATCGGGAGGTGAGCGAACACAAACCGGGTTCGCTCACCTCTCGATCCTGTCACGGCTCTCTGCCGTGACAGGGGGAGGGGCTGGATTCCCCTCTCCCCGCTCCGATCTGCCAGCGCTGACTGGTGGAACGGACGGGGGAGGGGGCGGGTACAGCTGGCTCTGCCTCTAGATAGGCAGAGCCAGCTGTCACTCACACAGCTGTAGTTCATGGTATACTGAGCTTAGGGTAACGGGAGGACGCTAGTTTGTGTCCTCCCGTTACCCTAAGGAGAACTATGGGGAAAAACACTGACCCCATAGTTCTCCTTTAAAAGGAAAATTCAGTTCCAAAATGAGGTTGTTCAATCTGTGTCAGGTATTTCGTAGACACCTCTCGATTTAATACCCCTTTTATAGCTAAATTCCAGGCAGATTTACACAGTTATTTATTAAATTAAAAATTAAATAATTATGATGAACGGGGGCGGGTACTGGACCAGATAGTACCGCTTGGCTGCAGTGTAGTCTGCAGGAAGTGTCCATAACTTGGTTGTGCTGTTTGAATCAGCAGACTGGCTGAACAAATTTACTAACCGAAGACTAATAGCCCTGCATTGTGTGTGATGATGCCGAGGGACCTTCCACAGCCCGGAGCATTGGAGTATGCCGGAACAGGGGTTAAGGCAAGTCATACCGCCTCTCTATCCCCGCCCTAGATTTAACAAGCATTAAACTATTGCAGTGTGAGGAAGGGGCACTACATGGGTGTTTTTTTTTTTCTCCATCCTGGAGTTGGTCTTCAAGCGTTTACAACAATAAAAACAATAGTCATCATAGAAACATGTGTGATACACAAAGACACAGCTCCCACTCTACAGAAAATGCTGTAATGCAATTGAAGGTTCCATTAGTAATGGATACAATACACAAACAATTAAGAAAATCAAGATGTGTTCGCCATGTTATGGTAAGCAACAAAAGAAGCACTCTACGTCCAATGATCTCTTTTAGAGCAAAATCACAACCAAGCGAGGCATGGCGTGCAATACTCACAGTTATCCCCCTGATAGTCTGGCACAAACTGCTCATCGTTATCTGGTACTTGAGCTGCAAGAGAAAAAAAGAGAAAATTAGTTTTTCAATGCCAAAACAAGTAAATAAAATAACACCCTCCAATCCAATTCTGACTAATTCCATACAATGAAGATGGGCAACCAGATAAACTTAATAAACCATATTTATTACCCATTTTGTCACTTTGTGCATATGTACAGGTTTGTGAAGTATCCACTATAACAAAATTGATAAGAGGAAAGATGGCCGCCATAGAGCAGGATTTGTTTTTCTGATTTGATCCGTTACAAACTTTAGGAAAACCAGGTCAAACTATACCCACATACCCTGTGCAGAGAGCAGAGCTGCAAGAGGGGCTGAACAGGCTCAACCCAGTACAAGCTTCCTGCAGAAAACTACAGAAGGGGGTGGAGACAGGATCAGTCACCCTGCACGAGCTGAGAGAGAGCAGCAGTGACCGGTCTTTATTACAGGAAGATTCAAGTCTCACACTAGATTCCTGAACAGATCTGGAAGAAATAAACAAAGCTCACCAAGTACTTCTATTGAATCTTCTATTACGACCAATAACACGAGTAAGGAAACCACATTTCTATCCATGTTCCAGTTGAGCGTCTCAAGAAGAGTTAAAAGTGAAGCGTTGGTCTAAATATATTTCTCTGATGACAGGTTCACTTTAAAAGTGTATCCAAACCAAAAGAACAAAAAAAGTGTAATAAATTGCAGCTTACCATTCCTTAGATATGGTGGCTGCATTAGTTTCTATGTTCAGCCAGCCCCCCCTTTTATTTTTACCTCATGGGCCAGCCGTTAATGCCCTTCCTGTCCTAACATAGGGGGAGTTGTTATAAAGTTCACAGAGGTGAACTGGGCAGGGCTGGTAACACTTAAGCTGGCCACACAAATATAACAGATTCCACCATCCACCCTAATCATCAAAGATGGAGGAATCTCCCACTGTGTACTTTGTTTCCTCAGAATACCCAAAGAGTGACAGCTGTCAACTGGCCACTGTCCCTGTTTGCTCACAGATTTTCCATCTGGCTCCTTCAATTTTCTGATGGGGGGGCTGCCAGCAAGGGCACCCTTATAAGAACCGGCCAAAATTTGCATGGTGCATGACCAGCTTTAGTGTTATGAGCCCAATGGATTTCTGGAAGGATCAACAGATATTTTTGCACCCTAACAGATTATAAGTTATCAAGAAGAAAAAGCCAGGGGCACTTCAATAAGATTCGACACGGGCGTAACTGTATTGTTGCAGACAAACAAACCCAAGGAGGTCCCACATTGATGTTTTCTGGCACTGGCAAAAAATTGGGCTTAATGAAACAATCTCTGCAGTTGAGAGCTTTATCTTTTGGGCAGAGAGGAGGTCACAGGAGGGGTGATCTGGGTGTGTTTGTTTGGAACAATAACGTTACACCTGTGTTGAACTTTCATAGCATGCCACTGGCACCCACAAAGAATTTTAATGGATTGCCGCCGGCTTTATCTTCTTGGATTCAATGGCAGTTTGGGGCAGAGAACGAGCCCCGTGTCTGGCTTTTAGCACCGGTTCTGCCCGGAGGGTGACTCGGCATTAAGGGCATGTGAGGGGCGAACATATTTCTTTAGAAGTTAATTTTTAGGGTTTGCATACACTTTAAAAAGGGATGAAAGGGTGGTGCAAATAATTAGGGATATGGTATAGTTGTTGGAAAGGTGTCAGGGTTATGGTCATGGGTGGAAATTTACATTTTTCATGGCCGAAACATCTCCAAGATCTACTGTGCAGGACCTCCGGCTCCTGAACAGGACCCCTGGGAAGCTGGTCATTTCTAAACTTTCATATATTGTAGATATAAATGTTTATTCTATTGATACAGCATTGACATGCAACACAGTGCATCCTTTTTATGCAGTACTGACATACATACATCCACATTGATCTCTAATGGCCTCACCAACACTAGGGTGGCACATTTGCAAATGAGGGCTGGTGAGACTCCAATAAAAGTACAGCTTCACTCATTTTTTTTTTACATTTTACCATTGTCTTTGTCCCCATGATGGGGATTTCCCTATTACTTCCTGTCCAGGTGACAGGTGTCAGCCAGAGCAGGAATCTCCTCTATGGCACAAAGCATTTACAATTGTCTAATCTCATGCTTGACACTATATCCAAAACTAAAGAGAATAAAAAGAAGAAGTTTTGACTGGTGTCAGGCTTTAAGTACCAGCATGGCCACGGCAAGCAACCAGGGCACAACAGGAAAAAACACACACACCCATACAGCAAAACATACCTGCTCCATTGAGATAGTCTCCCTGCTGAAATTTAAACTCTGGACCTCAGACCTCCAAGGCAAGAGAGCAAACTGCTCAGCCACCCTATCATAACAGCCCCTATGTAGCCAAACTTCGAGCACAGCTCCCCAGCTGTCCCTCGGTTGGAAGAACTGTCCATCATTTGGAACCAAGCCCCTCGGTCCCTCATTAAACGTCCCTCTAGATCCAAACATCTGCATAAATAAAATGGACTATTCAACTGCCAGAGTTATTCATGTTGCAGAAAACTTTAATGGACCTTCAGATTATGGCCATGGTTAGTTTTAAATACGAATATAAAAAGGAGACATAATGGTTGAAGAAAGGCCCACTGGGCTTAAGTGATCGTGACTTGCACTTTAATTTAATCAAGGACGGTGTGCCTAAGACCCCTTCACGTCTGTCCATTCTGTTGCGGTGCATTGCACTAAGCACAGCCCATTTCTAAAAGAATTTACAACACATGGAAACTGAAGGGCAAACATGGAAAAGGAAGGGCAACCTGACCACTGGCAGCTTTTTTTTTTTAAAAATATATATATATATATACACACACACATATACACACACACATTTCTACTTATATTTTTTTTGTAATACACACACTCACACATACATATACAATACTAGCTGCCCTACATTCCATTTCACACCAAAAAAAAAACATGATTTTTTAACTGAACTTATTTAATTCTCGATAGTAAAACCAAATTCAAAAAAAAACAACCATATGTAAAGCAATCTGCCCTAAGCACACAAGCACCCAGCAAAGCTGCACTAGGCCTGCCATGAATATAGTGCACTGTACACATATGTAAAACAGCCACAAACTGTCTATTGTTCAGTGTTTGTGTGCCCTCTCTGTGTATTTAGCTAGTAAAACCAGGAAAATGAAAAGGGGTTATTGTGCAACTTTTGTATTGATGTAGCAAATGTTTGTCCTTCAGACGTTATGCGATCCTATTGTACGTGGAAGACTGAGGTGTGCGCCAAAGCGGTGGGAGTGAAACGCATGAAGAAAGTTCTTTTATATCTTTTGAGTCTCATCCTAAATGTAGTGATAGTGTAGAAATGTCCAATGAATGTACACACAAGAGGGGGGGGGGGGGTTAGACTTTCCTTCTCTGTTACAACTCAAATTGCAAAGATTTATTTTGCCAGAATAAAAATAAAAGTGATTTTTTTCTGTAGATGGGTTATAATTTAGATTCACTAAATGTGTTGAGGGCAATACTAATCTACACACACCCGCCCCCCTCTCACACACACACACACACACACACACACACACCTTCTCTTTGGACTGTAAGCTGTATCAGGTTATCGCTACATATTTTTTAGCTATAATTATTTTGTCCCCGCTGGTAACATCTTATATATTTGTATTATCTGCACTGGTTAACCTATATCCTTACATAATTGTAAGTGTATTAGTTACCCTTTACCATTACGCATGTTTATTTTTTGTATTGGTTAGCCTTTACCATTATACATTTGTATTAACTTATTGGTTACCTTTTACCCTTATATATATGCACTTATTTATATAATGTATTGATCACTCTTTACCCTTGTATATTTTTATTATCTGCACTGGTTACCCTTCACCCTTATATAAATGTTGTTATCCATATTGTTACCTATTACCCTTACATAATATCTGGATTTGTTACCCTTTACCATTATACATTTGCATTAAGTGCAGTGTTACCTTTTACCCTTACATATGTTTATTTAATGTATTGGTCACTCTTTACCCTTATATATTTTTATTGTCTGTATTAGATTGTACCCTCTCACGGGCAGGGCCCTCCTTACCATCGTGTCTTGAATTGTATTGTGATTGTAAACTCTTAAGCGGTACACAAAGCTTTGGACACCCCCCTTCCCCCGAACAAATCACTTTTCTTTTCTTCTGAAAATCCTCAAAATATGTAAAGTAACAACCTCTGCAGGGGATAAACATTACACGTGTCTGCCAATTTTAACACATTACTAAGTTGCTTAAATTAATTCTGATCAGTTATCAAAAACCTGCAGTTAGATAGGAAGCGTTCAGCTCATGCAAGACGACCCAAGAATATTTCTTGACTAGAAGCATCGTGCAAAAGGAAGCGGGAAAAAAAAAAATCCTAAAAGTGTGAGCCTATAGATTGTTAGGTGGCTTTAAGAAACATTTTGAAGACTGCGATTTTCAGCAAAGGGGGTGTTAAGAAGTACTAACCGATAGAGGCCTGCAGACTTTTTTGCTCATGCCACATATTTGGTATTTTTTTCCCAATCTGGTGATTTAGAACTGTACGTTATATACAGAAAGGTGTTTTTGCTACTCTAAGGTTTGACAAAAGGTTGTAATCCTTTAAAAATAAGAGTATGGGCACCCTTAAATTTTGCATACATCTGTATTGTGC